TTTGATTTGGATTTCCCTGATGCCAAGTGATGTTGAACACTTTTTCATGTGTCTGTTAGCCATTTGGATGTCTTCTTTGGAAAAATGTCTGTTCATGTGAGAAGTGGAATCTTACAGGGCATGGCCGTGTAGGCAAGGTTGCAATTTTAGATATGGAGTGAGAAGTTCTGAAAAGACCTAAGGAAAAAGACTTAAAGGGAGGATAGAGGTAGCCATGTGGCTGTCTGTAGAAGAGCATTCTGGAGAGCAAACAGTAAGGTACAAAAGTCTTCAGATAGGAACATGTCTGGTGGGTTGAGGATCACCAAGGAGACTGGTATGGCTGGAGTGAATTGAAAAGAGTGTGAGGGTAGTGTGAGAGTTTTACAGGTCAACGTGGCTAAGTTATAGTTTTGAACTTTTCAAACACTAATCTAGGTATTGCTGTGAAGGTATTTTGTAGTTAACATCTATAATGAATAGTCTTTAAATAAGACAAAATTAGGGCTGCCTGGGTGGCTCAGTCGTTAAGCATCTGCCTTTGGCTCAGGTTATGATCCCAGGTCCTGGGATTGAGCCCCACATCGGGCTCCCTGCTCCGCGGGAAGCCTGCTTCTCCTTCTCCCACTCCCCCTGCTTGTGTTCCCTCTCTTGCTGTGTCTCTGTCAAATAAATAAATAAAATCTTAAAAAAAAAAAAAAATTATTCTTAATGCTATGGATGGGCCTTATCCAATCAGTTAGAAGGCCTTGAAAACAAAACTGAGATTTTCTGTGCTACAGACTGAATGTTTGTGTCCCCCCTCCACAAAGTTCCTATGTTGAAACCTAATCCTCAAAGTAATGGTATGTGGAGGTGGGGCGTCTGGGAGGATGGAGCCCTCATGAATGGGATTACTATTCTTGTATAAGAGATACCAGAGAGCTCCCTTGCCCCCTCTGCCATGTGAAGACACAGCAAGAAGACAGGCTGGTTGGCTGTGAACCAGAAGGCAGGCTTTCACCAGACGCTAAATCCTGGTGGCTTGATTTTGGAGTTCCCAGCCTCTAGAACTGGGAGGAAAAATTTCGGTTGCTTATAATCCACTGGCCTTTGGTATTGTGCTATAACAGCCTGAACTAAGACACCCTGAGTCAGAAGAAATTCTGCCTCAAGACTGTAGCATCAACCTCTGCCCAAGAGTTTCCAGCCTGCCAGCCTCCCCTACAGATTTCAGAGTTGCTAGCCTCCCACAATAATGTGAGCCAACTCCTCAATTCCTTGAAATATATCTCTCCTTGTTTGTATGTATGTATGTATATAAAATCTACTGGTTCTATTTCTCCGGAGAACTCTAATATAGGTAATAAGGTAGTGGGTAAGAAGACTGGATTACATATGGTCTTCTAGGTCATGGTAAGGACTTCAGTTTTAAGTTTTAGGTGAGAAGCTAATGGGGGATTTTGAGCTAAAGCATGACATGATCTCATATTTTAAAGACTCGTTCTGGCATGTGCCTAGGTGGCTCAGTCAGTTAAGTGTCTGACTCCTGATCTCAGCTCAGGTCTTGATCTCAAGGTCCTGAGTTCAAGCCCCACATTGGGCTCCATGCTGGGTATAGAACCTACTTTAAAAAATAAATAAATAAAGACTCATTCTGGCTGCTGTGCTGAGGGGAACAAGACGTGATGGTGGCAGGGTGGCATCAGGGTGGTGGAGGGGGTGATAAGAGGTGATAGAATTCTGGATATATTCTCAAGGTAGAGCAAACAGAATTGCTTTTGTAATGAATATGGGAGGAATCAAGGGTGACACTAAGTTTTTTGGCCTGAGCAACTGGAATAATGAGGTTTGGAACAGGTTTGGGACAATATCAAAAGCTCATTTTCAGAAATCTTAGGGTGAGATGCCTGCCGGTCATACTGGCAGGGACATCAAGAAGGCGGTTCCATATGTGTGTGGCATTCAGAGGAAAGATTCAGGCTGGAAATACAAATGTGGGAATGGTGACCAATATTGAATGTGTGTGCCAGAGGTTAGAGGATTTTGGTGAGGTGAGGGATGAGGGTGAGCAGAAGGAAGGAGGAAGGTGTAATTCTAAGTTTTTAGCTTGGACACTTGGTAGACACACCATTCTCTGTTAGGGAACACAGATGGTGTAGAGAAGACACTAGATTTTGCATGTATTGATTATAAGACATTTATGGAACTGGAACTGGAGATAATAGAGATTACACAGTCTAATTCAGTCCTTTTACAGATGAGGAAACAGAGGTTCCAGCACAGCTAGCTTGAATTAGATTGCCCAGTGCTCTTTTTGCCATACTTGGACACTTGTAATTATAGGGAAGACTATGAGAGTAAAAGGCACATCTCTCTCATCCCAAGATTGTCCAGTCATCCCTACACCAATTAAAAAAAAAAAAAAGAGGAAATTAAAGAAAAAAGAAAAAAAAAAAACTTGAGTGGTCAGATTGGCTCTAAGGTCAAGTGGGAATTCCTATGTATTTTGGAGAAGGATGTGATGTCCAGTGTAGATCAAGACTATCCCAGTATTTTCAGGCTCAGCATTTTGATTTCAGGAAACTTTAGACTGTCAAGATATTGGGTCAGTCCAGGCTAGACTTTTTTCAGGTAGAATACTTGGGCATCTGCATGTAGTATTTTGTTCCACCTTAAAAAAATTCGTAGATGAAAGAGCTCCAATCAGAGATTATCATTGGCTAATTATGGAATATTGTTTGAATACCAAGGAAAGCTTGGGTAAAAGGAAGCAGAGGGTGTTTAGGGTGATGGTTTGACTTTCCAAGAATTCCACTGAGGCTGTAGGATAGTGAGGTCAGCAAACGTGCATTCAAATTCTCATCTTGACCTCTGAGTAGCTGTGTGATTTTAGGTTAAATATGTTGAATCTCTTTGGGCTACCCCATCTATAAAATGGGAAGAATGATGTCTCCCACACAGAATTCTTCAAGGGAGTAAATCTATCACCCAGCCTGGGAGAGGAAACTCCTAATAATTGTTCCCCTTCCCCACAGCAAAATCCTTATTAGCTATTTATGCACTAGCCAAGTTGGTGTTGACAACTTAAGGGTCAGTTTTAACCCTTTTTCCTTGACCTGATTCCTCACTCTTTCTAATCCTCATTTCCATTATAAAGAATAGATTTCTGGCAAGTGAGAACAGTGGCATGGGGAAAGGGGTGGGGAAGAGTGTTTCTGAAGGCAAGCATGGGAATATTCTCAAAAGGAATAGGAAAGGCCAGCAAGTCCTAGTCATCCCATGGCAAGACCCACAGGGTGATAGCAAGGGCTCAGAAAGACTTTATGGTGTGTCCAGGGAGAGCTGGTTCTTTGCCAATGGTCAGAATTTCCCTACCCCACAAAAGAGAGGGCCGTCTGTCATCAAGGTCTTAGTTTAGGACCACAGAATACCATGACAGGTGACAATTAGAGAAATCTTTCCCGTTTACCCCAAGACAACAGAAGCCTCTTTGATTTTGGTGTGACTCTCAGAAGCAGCCCTATTATTGATGGCTGAGATGAATTTTCCCACTAAATTGTACAGAAGTGGGTTCAGAGTTAGAATTCATTCACTCAAATAACAGTTAAGTTTTCAGACCTTTAAATATCTGAAATTTAAAAAAAAATTTTTTTTTCAGACCTTCAAGTCAACAGCAGTAATTGCCTGATGTTAGTGAATCAGAGCAAACTTTTTTTTAAAGGGCAGAGGATAAAAGCCCAGAACATCTACAGTATTAACCTCTCAGCAGACCTGGGGCTGCAGCCTCTAAGGTTCTTCTGGGTTCCCTCACTCTCTCTCTCAAAATAAATAAATAAAATCTTAAAAAAAAGAAATCCAACAAACCTGCTTATTTTTTCAATTTATAGGTCGGATCTTATATTCTCTATCTCACTGAGCATCCCTCACATCCAAGAAATTTCTGAGTATTAAAAAAAAAAGATCTTTGATTACATAATCCATTTTCCTGGAATTTAAAAAGGTTAAGCCAAGTTCTGTTCAAGATGAAAAGATGGAGACAAAAGTTTAAGTGTGATCTGTTTATTGTTGCCACTATGGGTACATTCTCCTAATTCTCTGCCTCAAATCCCAATGATGCTTTTATATATGTGCAACACATGTCAATCTCTAGTTTCCTTGAGCTGAAATGTTTGGCTTTGAAATGTGAGGCATCTTTCAGGAAACAGAGTGGTAATGTGTAAGATGAAATGTTTCAGTGATATTTCTAAAGATTTTTTTTTTTTTAATTTATTTGACAGAGACACAGTGAGAGAGGGAACACAAGCAGGGGGAGTGGGAGAAGCAGGCTTCCCGCTGAGCAGGGAGCCCGATGTGGGGCTTGATCTCAAGGTCCTGGGATCATGACCTGAGCCGAAGGCAGACGCTTAACGACTGAGCCACCCAGGTGCCCCTCAGTGATATTTCTTACATCACATGAAACTCATTGTGAAATGCCACTAGATTCAGTCCTTCATTGTATTTAGAGAGCCTGAAGCTTTTGTTTTTATGGAGATTAGAAAAGGAAATGTGAATTATATAAAGTGAAATTAGAAATAAAAATATATCTTACACATTCATAGTACAAATTTTGCAAAGACTTCACAAGCCACAAAATCTTAGAAATTATTATAAAATTATTTTTGTTCCTTTTCTCCATTTTCTATAAGGTCAATTCCTAAGTTAGTCCCCTCTTTGTATTATATGAAATTGGCTTTCAGATAAAGGACAAGTGATAATAAATAAGGATTGCCAGGGCCTCAAAAGATGACACTGAAGAAAAAAAAGATAATTAGGAAAAGCAGAAGTCTAAACATTAAAGTTCTGATTAATATTGGATGAAATCAACTTAACCCTGGTAAACCAGTCCTATTTATTTATAGCTAATGAATGAAGAAGAATTTAAGTTATGCTACTTAAATATAATGATGTTTTGGAAAGCAGGTATTTTTGAAGATATGTATTCACATCAACTAAATGTAGAATGTAGTCTATGTAGGACTTATTGTTCTTTAGTTTTATATCCAATAACTGCATCAAAGCTAATATTGATCTTTCGTTTTAAAAATGCCAGGAAACGCTCAGGAAAGATCCTAAAAAAAAAAAAGATACATGAAAATAATTAGGAAATTAATATTAAGTGTATTTGTAAAATATCTTCTTTTAAAATACTTACATTTATCATGTATCATCTTTTTTTGCATGAGGAAAAGAACTTTTTAATTTCTATTCTACATATGAGGCAGCTATACATAATGTATAAATCAAATACTGGAACACAACCACATCCAAAAAGAGGAAAGAACAGGCACATACAAGATGGAAACTATTTTGTTGGACTTACTTCCTTTCTCTTTCTTTTTTCTTTCTTTCTTTCTCTCTTTCCTTTAAGAATAAGGAAGTTTTTTGGATATTTCTTATAAAACCAGACTTCAGCCTTATTGCCCTAGTCCCCACTTAACAATAGGTATTTGTAAAGTCTTCCCATTATAATGCTGTTTTCTCATCCACAGCTGGCTATGGAAATGCCTGTAGGATGGAGCTTTCCAACCTACGGTCTATGGAGAGCCTCGGATGAGTATGTGCTATAAGCCTTGTCTAAAAACCGAAGGCATGATGTGTCTCTTACTTCCCTGCACTATTTCCTAATGGATGTAAGTGCTGCTGTGACAGCTAACATAAAAAAAATTCATAGCAACTTCTTGTCATCAGTAGTTTCTCAATCAACAGAGATAATACATATCTCTAATCTGTGGTTTGGGTGTATCCCTTATCAGGTATCATCTTAAACAAGATTAGTCTTAAAATTAGGAGCTTTAACTCTGAGTCACTACTCTATGTTCTTTCCAATTAAATCCATTTTGTTTTCAAAAGGAAAAGGAAGGAGGCTTTGCCTCCTTTAGGGTAGGAGTGACTTGAAATATTTAGTTTTCGAAATATATATATGCCTATGTTTCTCCGAAGATCTAAGAGAGGAGGTGTCTAGAACTGAAGAGTTGACAGGCTAAAGGCTTTTAAAACAAGAAACATGGGGCACCTGGGTGGCTCAGTTGTTAAGCATCTACCTTTTTTTATTTTTTAAGATTTTATTTATTTATTTGACGGGCAGAGACACAGCGAGAGAAGGAACACAAGCAGGGGGAGTGGGAGAGGGAGAAGCAGGCTTCCCACGGAGCAGGGAGCCTGATGCGGGGCTGGATCCCAGGACCCTGGGCTCATGACCTGAGCCAAAGGCAGATGCCTAACGGCTGAGCCACCCGAGCACCCCAAGTGTCTGCCTTTGGCTCAGGTCATGATCCCAGGACCCTGGAATTGAGCCCCACATCAGGCTCCCTGCTCCACTCCCCCTGCTTGTGTTCCCTCTCTTGCTGTGTCTCTCTCTGTCAAATAAATAAATACAAATCTAAATAAAGTAAAATAAAATAAAATGAAATAAGAAACATGACATTGGAAAGGAAGTGAGAATACGAACTAATTCTATACATGATAATCCAAAATATTATTAAAAATGTTCCACTGAGAGACTGAGGAGACAGAGCTGCTAAATGAAAATGTAGATAAAGCACTTGGTTTTGAGCATAATGCTGAACAAGTTATTTAACTTTTGAGTTTAAACTCCTCACGTGAAATTGGAAAAATCAACACCTACTCCACAGCGCTCTTGTGAAGAATCCATGTGTTAATATAAAATGCTTTAAACATTTTATTTTGTACATGACGGACATGTAGTAGGTCTAACATTTTTTTTCTCCCCACCCTAAATGGGCAAACCTCAGATACTGCAGGTTTTGTGCCAAACTACTGCAATAAAGAGAATATCACAATAAAGTGGGTCAAATGAATGTTTTGGTTTCCCAGTGCATATAAAAATTATGTTTACACTATACTGTAGTCTATTAAGTGTGCAATAGCATTATGTCTAAAAAAATTTTATAGACCTTAATTAAAAAATACTTTATTGCTAAAAACATGCTAACCATCATCTGAGCTTTCAGTGAGTTGTAATCACTGATCACAGATCACCGTAACAAATATAATCGTGAAAAAGTGTGAAATAGTGTAAGAGTTAACAAAATGTGACAGAGACATGAAGTGAGAAAATGGTACTGGAAAAATGACACCAGTAGAGTTGCTTGATAAGGGTTACCACAAACCTTCAGTTTGTAAAAAACCCAGTATCTGAGAGTACAGTGAGATGGAGGGCAATAGAATGAGGTATGCCTGTACTTAAGAATATTGAGGAATTTGTCACATTCCAATGAGACTGAGAGAATCTAAACAGAGTATCTAAGTCAGGGTAACCATAGTTGACCCTTGCACAACATGCACAACACACATATATCTTTTGACCCTCCAAAAACTTAACTACTAAAAGCCTACTGTTGACTGGAAGTCTAACTGATAACTTAAATAGTCAATTAACACGTGTTTTATATGTTATATGTATTATATATTATATTCTTATAATAAAGTAAACTAGAGAAAAGAAAATGTTATTAAGAAAATCATAAGGAAGAGAAAATACATTTAAAGTACTGTACTGTATATAAAAAAAAATCCACTTCTAAGTGGACCCCTACAGTTCAAAGCCATGCTGTTCAGGGTCAACTGCATATACAGACATCTGACCAGATGGTATTAAAATAAGGCTTGGCAATTGAGCACCAAACATTCACAGTCAGAAAAATCAGGGCAATGCTAATAATAGCGTTAATTATAATAATAATAGCTGTATATAACATTTATTATTTATAGGATACTAAATACTTTAAATGCATCATTTTATTTATTCCTCACAGTCCTATAATGTCTTATTGTCTCCATGTGACAGATGAAGACACTGAGCTTCAAAGAAGTTAAACAACTCATCTTATATTCATGTGGTAAGCAAGTCACAAACACAGTTTCATCTAACTCCAAAGCACAAACTTTGAGTCTCTACGCTAAAGGTCTAGGAAATAGAATTAATTTATTAAATCAACAAACATTTTGGTGCCCCCCTCCATGTGTCTATCAACTCTTAGGAGTACAAGCATTACATACAGTGATGAAAACAGGCGAACTTCCTTCCCTTACAGACTTACATTCTAAGGGACTGTAGTCAGAGTGCTTACTTATGAAATGTAACAAGAATAACGCTAAACACTTCACATGTTTTAACTTGGTTATTCACCCAGGAAATCCTTGAGTTTTACTACCTAAACTAAGGTATGTTCAACCATAGTTCCTTGCAGAATGGGCTAAAAAGGGGCTAAAAAGCCTAACATGCTTTTGATCTTTTGAAGTTTTTTCAGTTCCTAGGTCAGTAATTCTCAAAGTATAATCTTGAACCAACTGCCTGTGGCAACTGCCTGTTAAAATACAGATGTCTGGGTCCCAACCAAAATATCCTATATTAAAACCTCTAGAGGTGAGATTTAAGAATCTATTTTTAAAAATTATCTTCCCAAGTGATCCTGATACCCCACCACGTAGGGACAGAGAACACGAGGCTGGCTGGCTTCCTTCCTTCCTCCCTCCCTTCCTCCTCCCTCCCTTCCTCCTCCCTCCCTCCGGCCCTCCCTCCCTTCATTCCTTCCCTCCCTCCCTCTTTTAAGCTAAGCCACCTCTTCACATTCCCCTCATGACCTGGACCAGCCTCACTGCCACACAGTGTTCTCATATGAATAATGAGGCAATGTGCTATCAGGAAGGTGGTTAAGCCAGTGGTTTCCAATCTTGGCTGTACATCAGAATCACTTGGAAAGTTGCACCTCTCAGAGACCAGCCCACACCTCAGGCCAATTACAACGGTCTTGAGGAGTAGGTCGCAGGAGTTAGTATTTTGAAAACTCCCAAGTGAATTCCAATGTAAACAAAGCTGACAGCTACTAAAGAAATGCTTCTCAAATTTGAATATGCATTCAAATCACCTGTGGATCCTACAAGAATGCAAATTCTGATTCAGGACATCAAGAGATTCTGTTTTTCTAACAAACTCCCAGGTGATGCTGATGCCACTGGTCCGTGCAAGTAGTAATGCTCAAGGATCTCTAAGATCATAGAAGATTATTTAACAATTCCTATGCTTCAGTATGATTTTGCACAAAATAAGAGCTTGATGATTATCTTTGTATATTTAGATGAATATCTAACACCTAACTATAGTCTCCTCCAATATTATTGTTCTATGATTCCATTATGTAGTGATGCTTAAAAACTATCCTTCTTTATAGTCATTCATCTATGAGACAAGACTTTCAGAAATATACACTTCTCTTTCTCTAAAAAGAAAACTTAAAAACTTGTGGAAATTATTCAGTTCAGTAAACGATTGCTATCTATACAAACGTTGCTTCAAGGATTAACAAATGTGGTATTAAAAACTGATGGATTATTGAAGCCTATAGTTTTTGTACCTTAATTCCATTCAATTGTACTTTATCAAATGTCTGGTTTGAAATCTGAGTAAAAACATGTAATACATAAATCTTTATTTATAATGCTAATAAATGTAAATATCACTTACTTTTCCACCACTGTTAAAAAGCTTATAGAAGATGGAATAAAAATCATTTTCTGCTCAGTCAGGATCCCTTTCATCAGCTTGTCTACCACTTCCTCAGGTTCCAGGGTGGGTCCCAAACTGAAATCAGAAGCAGTCTTTAGCAACAAAACGTTTCACGGAAGCTTCGGCTTTGGTTAGGTGCTAAACGAAGAAGTTAAATTACCATAGGAATCATAACATAACGGACTTGTAGTATCTGGCCCATTATAATTGCCCCCAAATAGTAGCTGCTTTAGCATGAATAATAACAACCACTTATTTAGTGCTTATCACATACTGTGCACTGTGCTAAACACACTCCATAGGCCATCTCACTGAAGTTTTGCAACAGCCTGTGACGGAGAGACTACAGTCTCTATATTGCAAATGAGAATTGTAGATGTAGCCAGGACTAAATAATTGAGCTAGATTAGGACTGACAAATTCACTTTTAAATCTTTAGACGTCTTGGGGCGCCTGGGTGGCTCAGTCAATTGGGCATCTGCATTCAGCTCAGGTCATGGTCCCAGAGTCCTGGGATGGAACCCCACATTGGTGGGTTCCCTGCTCAGCGGGGAGTTTGCTTCTCCCTCTCCCTCTGCCCCTCCTCCCACTTGTGCTCTCTCTTAAATAAATAAATAAATAAATAAATAAATAAATAAAATCTTAACAATCTTTAGAAGTCTTGGGGAAAAAGTCAAATACCATTATACAAATTTTATTTTATACTAAGTCTCTTCAGTGAACAATTTCTAAAGTGTCAGAAAATTAAAATATAAAAATGTGCCTGCTCCTAGTACCCAAAATCTATAAAGAACTTATCAAACTCAAAACCCAAAGAACAAATAATCCAATCAACAAATGGGCAGAAGACATGAACAGATGTTTCTCCCAAAAAGACAACCAAATGGCCAACAGACACATGAAAAGATGCTCAACACCACTTGGCATCAGGGAAACAGAAATCGAAACCTCACTGAGGTACCACCTCACACCAGTTCAGAATGGTTAAAATTAACAAGTCAGGAAATGACAGATGTTGGTGAAGATGTGGAGAAAGGGGAACC